GAAAGTCAAGAATTAATTAAAGGTATTCAGTGTATCGCTATTGCGAGTTTAATTAGATAATTAAAAAAATCGGCTAAATTCGCCAATTTACTTTTCAATACGTCTATAACCTCTTTAATCGGCGTCCAGAGAGCCTTAATTTGCCGGCAGCTTGTAAAAAATTCTTCATCAGTTAATAGTATAAGAACTTCAGTGTTGGAAATAACATCTCGATGCTCTATTAATATCTATGTAAAAAAAAAAGAATTATATTAAATTAAAAAAAAAACAAAAAAAACAAAAAATTATTTACCCAATCAAATACGGGCCTAGCATGTAATATAGAGTCGGTAGTAAAAAATAGTGAAGCCCAACAAGTTCGACACCACATATGAAGCCCTTCGAGTCGAATTTTCATTTCATTCAAACCCTGTCGTAAATATGAATTGCCCTGATGCGATTCTTTAAAAAACTTAACAATCCTATTACATTTATTAATTAAATCTTTAATATTATTTTCTTTAACTAGATCAGATGCAATTAGGTTAATCGCATGTGCCGCACATCATATATCCCAAATATGGGAATATGTTTCTTGAATTTTTTTTCTTGCATAACGCCAATTAGATGCCGCATCCATAACTACCGCAGCGAATTTCTCACTTCCAACATCCTCAATTAAATTAGAAATTTCTGAAAAGAAAAATTCTCCCGTGAGTATTTCTGCTGAATAGTTTTTTAATTTTAGGAGATATTCTTTGCAGTCTGTCATAAGTCATAGATATGATGTAATTATAAAGAGAATCTGCACGTGGGGACATCCAACTATCTAATACTAAAATTAATAATTAGTTAATAAAATAAATGTTTAAATTTATATACTGTACATAATATATATACAGTACATACTTAATGTTAAATTATCGCAGTGTTTAAGTTCCTGATTAACCAAATTGGTTACTCATGCTACTTCAGCATCCAAAAGCCATCCCGAAAGCGTAGATCGTGATGGTGGATCGTATTTCAATTTTTTAAATAAATCCTTTATAAAAGGATTTTTGATCACGTTGAATGGAATTCCAGCCATTACCCATGCCTTTAATAATGATTGATCAAGTTGGCATTTTATTTCTGAAGGAATACAATCCACATTCTGCAAATCAATTGTTCGACTACGAATTGTATCAGCTTCTTCGATTAACTTTCTGCGCCAGTAATCACTAATATTTTCAGGGCAATTTTTACAATGATTGGCCAAATGCGCCTTCATAACTTGTGGTTTTCCACGTTCCCAAATAGATGAACAATAATGACAAGATGCTTTATAATGCCCATTACCCCTACCAGGCCCTTTTATGTAAAATGACCATATTTCATCAAAGTTAGGACCACAATTTTTTTGTCTCTTAGTTGAACATGTTGAACTAATAGCAGAGGCATCATCCAAGCTTTCATTTTCAAGACTTGTCATTTTTGAATTAGAAAATATGGTATAATATAAAAAAAATTTAAATGAATAACCTTTAAAATTTAAAAATTAATAAATTTTATTATTAAATAAATCAATTATGTATCATTGTTTTATTACTATGTACATATTTTATCGGTTATTTTAGTTATGAAATTATTACAGATTTCTGATTTACTACGTGATTTATGACATACTACTATAATTACGACATACTACTATAATTACGACCTACGACCGGAGTTGCTACCTACGTCAATACTACCAAAAAGTTGCAACTTCACTACAATCGGTCGTAATTAATTACCTAAATACAACTGCAACACTACTTACCATTATTAGATTATTTAGTAAGTATAAAGTGTAGTGTTATATTGTAGTATTTCGATTATCCAGGTCCCAGAGTATTTTCGCACTTTCACAACGTACGTACGTACGTAATTTAGATAATGATAACTTGTACATAGGTTACACGATACTATCATTATAATTAACTTAGATTTACAACGCTAGTGACATCATACACGACTATTTAAAAACGGACACCTTTAGAATAGACGGAGTTTACACATTTATCGTAGACCCAATTGTATGTATCACATGATTTTACACACTATTTATACATGGGGTCAACGCTAAATTTGGGATTTACTTATTTGTGCCGGTAATACAACCCAAAAAAGGAATTTTAATTTTGTAAATAAACAAAGTGCGTAAAGACACAAATTTAGGGTTAGAACATTAGCGTTAGAAGCTATAGCCATAGACTGTTGTTTGTTATATGTAAAATTTCGTTCCCAACATTTTCGATTAGTGTACCAGGGTCGATTTAAACACTAGTTTTTGAGTATTTTCGCTTTTTTCTTCTTTCACACGTGTTCGGAATTCATGTGGGCTGATCCGGAACGATCAAAATTCGAACTCACTGATTGGTTATTTCCTTTTTAGGAGTTTGTATTACCGGCACAAATAAGTAAAGCCGTCTAAAGCAACTACCCCAGTATCGCCACCAAAATAACTACCCCAGGATCGCCAACAAAAATTACTATGTAACTATGATAAATTTTCTCGATCACGTGATGATCTACAACAAATTATCCAATAAAGAATCTTGATTTGGTGTAACATCACGCGATCAAAAAATTTCAAAACAAACGTCCCTTTAGAAAAAATTGCCTTTATCTCAAAAATTCGCTAAAGAAACAATCCTTTATGCATTAACAAAAAAAACTCCTCGAGTAATTTTACTATATCCCCCTTAATATTCAACCTTAATTTAAACGCTTACCCTAACATAAACGAACTTAAACAATTTTATCGATCATCACGTGATCGAGAAAAATTTGTTGGCGATACTGGGGAAGCTATTCTAAAGCCGGGTAGTCACGTGACCTTGCGCCACAGTGGCGTGAGGCTGGTATTACCCTAAATGGCTTATATGGCTAGTAATATATGACGTAACTATCTGGCTTTAGTAAAA